GGTCCTACCTCCACTGCCCTCCCTTGGTACCAACTAGATCAGTGTTTCTTAACCTTTTTTAGCCTCAAGGCAGCCTTCCACATACAGATCTGTAGATCTGTAACCATCACATTATGGGGCCTTATTTTGATGCTTCTACTATTTCACCTTTTCCAAGGGCAGCACTTATCCTTCTCACCCACCCTTCCCAGGAAAAGCATGTTCTGCTTTCTTTTCTTTTCCTGTTTATTCCAACTAGCTTTTACATCTTCACCCACAGATACCATGTCTTATTATCTTCAGGCAACTAACTGAGAGGGCACGTTTTCTTTCTCAACACAAACTATGCTGTACTTACAGTTTTCACAAACTTACAAACTGTGTACATTTATTGGACTGAGAAAATGTGATATTCTTTCAAAGCTACATTAAACTGTCATCAGGCAGTTGTTCCTTTAGGTAAAATTATATATTTTGTAGTTATTGCTTATTGTTGGTCAGGATAAACTTTCTGTTGGAGTACCTCAAAGGATGTATGAATAATACTTTAGATATTTTACTGCATGGAGCTTATCTTGGGTTCCACTCAACATTCCTTATTTCAGAACTCATTGATTTCATTTAGTAACAAATTAAATATAACGGACTTCAGGAATAAGCCACTTCAGTATTAATGTTCTATGTTGAGAGAGCCCAGTTACAATACCATTGTACCTTACACACCTGAATAAACCCAGAAATATTTTCAAGTATACTTATTTTGACTGAAGAAGTCTCTTCTGGCTTTTAAATTAATATTTTTGATACTTTGATTTTTTTTACTTAAAGTATAGAAAATGACAACAGCGCTGAGGTATTTAGTAAAAAATATTTCTTTATTTCCATAGCCAGAGTGCTGCAGGAGACAAAAGAAATGGTATAAACGTGCATTAGAAGAAGCGAACAAACTGCTTGCATGTTCTTCTTAGCAAAGACTTGGCCATCTATCATCAAAGGGTATAACTCACTATTTTTAACATAATTTCCAAATATTGTTAGAGTCCAATACTGTGGAGTTTTTCTGTTGTGAAGTTTTTTTTTTTCCTTTAAAGAGCATAATTATATTGTCATGATAATAAAAAAGTAGAGTGTGTGGCCCAGGTTCTATTCTGCTTCAAACATGTAAGTGGTGCTTTTTACTACTTTTAGCTGTTCAGGTACATGATCTTCTTCCACCCTCCCTGATTTCCTGAAACTAGCATAAGTTTGTTTGGTGTCTGCATTTTAGGTTGTATAGAACACTATAGGTTTGTGCACATTTCCAATACAAGTCCTGTTAGGTACATGGTTTCAGTCCAGGCCTCTTTGCAATCCAATTCTGAGATTGCTCATGCACAAATTTTGTGCTAGGCCCTGATCCAAAACAAACTAGTAGACCTGTTTGGACAATACTTTGCTACTTCCTGCAGATGCTCATGTCTTGCAGTATCTTGGCCTCCCTGTAATTTACAGATGGTGAGTGTTGGCCCCCAAGGGACAAATTCAGGGGGCTAGGGTAGTACATTCACACACCCCTTTGACTGTGCAGCTGATGCAGCTCCTGCCAGAGCTCCGTAGGCTGAGCTCACGAGATCAGCTTGGGAGCTCCCCAAGCTAAGCTGAGGAGTTGAAGGTTGGGGGGGAGCTCTGTGGGCTGAGTTAACCAGTTGATCAGCATGTTGGAGCTCATCCAACTGGAACTCATCTTCCCTGCCGGAGCTTGTCTTATACAGCGAGCAATCTGAGCTCTGGCAGGGAGCTACAGTGATCAGTAAGTGAGCTCAGAGAGCATGCCCAGTGAGCTCAGATTGCTCGCTGGGCATGTGATGTACTGTGAATGACTATTGCAGAGCTAGTTTTGTGTGTGAGCAGGAACAAGCCTATTGCAGTACTAGTTGCTCTGCACTAAGACCATAGGCCAGAGCCCTGCATAGGGGATGAAGCAATGCTATAGGCAGGCTCCCCTGGAGACCAGTTGCAAGCCTAATTAGGGAGCACCTGTAGCTAGCTTAGGGGAATCATCTGATCAGAAAAAGGCAGGGTCTGGGAGATATAAGGCAGGACCTGAGCCAGGATAGTCAGTCTGGTCCTGGAGGTCAAAGGGAGAGGATTTTTTTGTGAGATGGCTGCTGCTGGCTGACTGTTTGAGAATCTGCCAAGCTTGAGGACAGCAAGTAAGGAGCTGTGGGCTGGTAGGGAACTTTGACCTAGAATAGAGAGAGAGTTTTAATAGCTAGCCAGTGTGTTTAGAATTAAGCTATAGCTGGAACACTGATGTTTCTGTTTGAATTTTGACTGGTGGTTTGGGTGGGACTACTAAAGGGTGAGAGAAAGACACCATGTCTGGTGCAGTGGGTCTAAGCTAAAGGGAATAGCCAGAGCAGGGAAAGCTGAGGCCCCAAAAAGGAAGTGGAGGCCTGAGGTGGCCTAATGCATTGTGTGCAAAATGCCCACGTAAGTGATGGTTGGGAGCATTTATGAGGCATAGGCATGGCTGTAGGAGGTGTTGGAGCTGTGAATGCCCATAAGGTGACAGGTGCCCTATGGTAGGTGCAGGCCAGGAGGACCTACCTAAGAGGAAAGGCTGTTTAGGATTAGCAGGGCCCAAGGGGGATCTGCTGGCAGGAGTAGACTAGGGCTCACTGTAAGGCCCATGGTCAGTAGGGCTGTGTCAAGCTTTGGGTGCTGATTCATTTCGGCCTGATTCGGCGGTCGAATCTCCAAATCCGAATCGAATCAGGGGACCAATAAAAAGATCTGAAATTGATCAATGCTCTCTGAATCAATGCAGAAAAGACTTGAAGAGCTTCAATGATTCAAGGAGTCCTTGCCTGCTGCAGCAGGGACCTAGAGCTGGACTCAGAGCTGGTAAGGAGGGGACTATGGGGCCTATCTGCTACCTGCTCCCCCAGCCCTCGCATGGCTGCCCTAGCTCTTGGCCCTTTTTTTTTTTTTTTTTAAGCCCCCGGTCACTGGATGCTGCCAACCAGGGGGGTGATGCTCACTGTCCCATGCTGCATGGGGGGGCTCTGTGACAAGCCCCCCCTATAGATGTTCTGCCTGCCCCAGATCTGGCCCTCTTAAGAAAAAAAAAAAACAAACAAACCCTGATCTCACCAGCTCCTGCAGCATCCTTGGGGGGGCTTCGTGGAAAAGCCCCCCCCATGGCATGGGGCAGTGCGGGGCAGCAGGGATCACCCCCACTGGGCAGGAACCAGTGAGTACAGAGGGGTTTTTGTGTGTGTGTGTGTGTGTGTGTGTGTGTGTGTGTGTGCAAGAGGGGGGAAAAAAAGAGAGAAGGGGATTGCCCCCTGCCCAGCAGCACCGGGTGAGTTGGGGCTCTTTTTTCCCAAAGTGCCAGGAGCTGGGGAGGGTGGGGCAGCCATTGCTGGGGCTGGGAGAGCGGGTGGGGGATGGGGCCTGTGTGATTCAGAGAGAAAGCAGCAGCCGAATCTCCAAATCGGTTTCAGCCAAATCAATTCAGGACAGTGATTCGAATCACCAAATTGAATTGCTGTCCCCTGAATCAGCTGAATCCGAATTCTAGTCACTTTGCACAGGTCTAATGGTCAGCCTCCCTTTCTACATCTATTAAGACTATCTAGGCAGACGAAAAGCGAAGAGAGGGTACTTGAGAGAGAACTGGGCAGGAATTGTATGGCCACCAGAAAGCATGGACTCATTACAGCCCCCCCCCCC